GGAGGTTATTCCTCCAAAGCACGTTTATGTGCTTTAGGTCTTGTTGCTAGTGTTGGTACATCTGTGTCTTGTGTATGTGCACTTACATAGTTCGTGCTAATGTGTCTTTTCTTTGTCCGTAGTCCGTATTATTGTAAAGTCTCTTAGAAACAGGCCTCTCTACTGTCGATGTAGGGGTAGGGTCTGTGTACACAAACCCTACTTTCATGGGCTTTTTACTGAGTTTGTTGTTACACAGTACACACACACACAGGGAGAGAATTAACCCTCCCCTCCACGGCTCCACCCTAGTATTCGTGTGTCATAGTCTAAGACTAAAATTGACAGTTATTTACTTACGTCTGTATCTATCAGCCGTGGCTGGGAAGCTTGTTATAACACCATCAATAGGAGCTTCACCGAAAACATAGCTGTTCAACTCCACATATGGATCAGAAAAGAAGTCCCATGCTTGAGATACAAACTCATTGTTGAAGACTTGCACATATACTTTAAGCTTGGCCTCTTTCATCTTTGCTACCACATGTGTTTGCTCAACCAGAAATTGTTCATCTGTTTGAAACACAGATTTTTTGCTTATGATTACAGAGCTAGCAAAGCTCTTTATCTCTGAAATAGTTGAGTTATCAATATCACGTATGTCCTCCTTTAATCTGTAAACAAGTTCATATTTCTTGTTTGTGATATTTCTCAGAGCAGCACTATCATTAGATTGAATCATGACTTTCGGTGTTGTAAGATTATTGTATCCAGAATTGTTTAGAGCTTGAAGAACAGCTTCAGTGACACTCAGTCCCAGCTTTCTCAAGTAGGCCTCATTCTGTATGAAGTGCGGAATTACGTCAAATAATTGAACCTCTTTGGACACAACACATCAAATTCAACGAACTTAAAATAAATTAATTCTTTGAACATGAGTTTTTCGACCGGGGGGGGGGGGGGGAGCAAGTAGCTCTTTAAACATGAATTTTTAACAGAATAAGTATGATTTAGACCCCAGCACTAGAACACTTAAAACTATAAACAGCTATAGGAGTAATCAATATGATAATACACTCTCAAATCTCTTTTGTTGAATATTAATACCTTCTTTAAAATACTCGTCAATACAGATGCTATCATGCCAGAGCAAATATGTTTTCGAAATTGTGAGCCAATAGTGTGTAACTAAACAATCTAAGTAATGCAAATCTCCTTTTCTTGATGCAATGGCGTCACTTGTAAGCTATAATGATGATCCTACAAGTGAAAAAGAGAAAAGAAAGTGCAACTAGATTAACTCACCTCTATGCTAATGAGAACACCAGAAAGAGATGAAGCATTTTTTGCATATGCCAAAAAATCTTCAAGTGTCATAAACTTCCCAGCATTTCTGTCTTTGGGGTTCCGTTGTAATCGAAAATCTATAAATGGGTTTGAAATTGATGCTGCAAAAAAATGGCACATGCAAATGTAATGAAAATCAATTATTTAGAAAACAATAATTGGAAGTCAGTCTCAAATAATCAACATATCATAGCAAAAAAACAGTAATTCCAGTCCGTCAGCAAATCATCAAAGTAGAGAACAAATAAACACACCCACACACCACACCACCACCCAGGCAAATAAGTAGTTTTCATTAAGTGGTAACTGGTTATCGTTAAACTCTATTCTATTTTACTTAAAAGCATGCAAGTCAAAAACTTGAAAGCAAATAACTTGCTGATTACAAAAACTATAAATGAACAGACAACTTCGCAATCTTTTTTTATATCACAGATAGAACTGGAAGAGCAACTCGCAGACATGATTATAAGGAATATTTAAGATGTGAAACTTGATTGGTAGCCAAGTTGCTCAAAAAAAAAAAATAGACATGAAGTTTGAACAAACAATGAAGTAGACCTAACATTAAGTGGTTACTGCTAAATCTACTCTCTCTGTAACTCAATTAGATTGACTTTTTGGTTTGATTTCAAAAGCTTTACAAAAAAACTGCTGAAAACCCAAAAGTGTATGGTTGAAATTTCTTTAGAAGATACAAATTTTGTAAGCCACATTTTTTTCTAATAGAGAAAAAGGTGAAGTGTAAAGTTTATTTTGGGACGAACAAAAATGGAGAGTGTAAAGTTAATTGAGAGACAGTTGGAGTATTTTACTTTAATTCTGAACTTACGTTTTAGGCTCTGGATCTCTCTCCATGTGAGGTCAAAACTATGTATTGCATTAACAGTTTTGAGCTCTGGAACGTTACGGGAAAGGTTGTTGAATACTTGGGCAGCAGTGGTCGCACCTATTAGATTTACAGAACCCAAGCAAAAAGGTTTTCCATCAAATGTCATTTGTACAGTACAGTCAATAATATCAACACCATCTGAGACTGCTGAAGTATATGCAATGTCAGTGCAGCCAGGGTAAGATCCACTTGCTCCATCAAATGAGATAATCTGAAGATCAGGCACTGCAAAAATTAAAAAGAATAGTCATTATAAAGACTATTTGGAGTTTTAAAAAATTTAAAAATATGAGAATGAGAAACTAGAACACAAAAATCAAAATAAAAAATCTACAGAAAACAGAAGTAAATGGTTATCGTCTTTGTATCACATAAACACATACTTCCTCAGTCCCAGAGTATTTGTCCACTTTCATTTTTACACACCATCCAATGCACTTCTTTAATCCATCTTATCTTGTAATTTGTATATTAAAAAATTATAGAAATTATATATTAATAATCTATATGTTAAGACAAATCAAACAAGATCACACATGACTATATTTAGGCTTACACATTGAGAGAATTTGATGAGTCAAAGTGCTTAAATGAACAGTTCCAAAAGTCAAAAGTGGACAAACAAAGCGGGACGGAGGGAGTATTTTGATTGGCATAGTTACTATGCACAAATCAAAATGAATCTTACTTTTTTCATTTATAATCGTCAACATTCTTTTATCATATCATAGTCAAATAGCCTGATGTTCAATTTGTTTATTACTCCATAGATTTTAAAAATAGAAAAATTTCATTTACAAAAAACTGAATTCAAAATATTTTCAATTCGCTCCTCTATAAAACAACTACTCCCTCCGTCCCTTAAAAAACTTTCCATTTTGACTTTTAAAGAATTTAAGGGGAGTGTATTTTGGTGTTCACTTTCCAAAAAAGCCCTTTGATGTGATGGATAAAGTAGGATGAGATGGGTAGATTAATAGAGAAAAAGTGTGATGTGATAGATAGATTAAGAATTAATAGGGGTAAAAGTGACTTTTTAATAGGAAAAGAGATGTGTTTTTTGGGACGGATGAAAAAGGAAAAGGGAAGGGTTTTGTGGGACGGATGAAAAAGGAAAAGGGAAGGGTTTTGTGGGACGGAGGGAGTACTACATTACCCACACCCCAGTGCCTCAAAGGCTCCCACTCATTGCAAAGTGGGGCGGGGGGATGTACACAACCTCACCTTTATGTTTAAAACATAGAAAGGCTGTTTCCAAATTACCCATGATGAGCGTCAAAAGTTCATTGATTAACTGCTACTTCAATATTGACACAATTTAAAGAACCATTTTGCTTTAGTCCATCATACCCAAAGCCAAAAAAAGAGTGAATCTTTGGCTCCATCGGAGATTATGGAAATTAATTTGCTCCTTTAAACTAGTAGAACAAATTTAACGGGATTATGTGTTAAACCGATTACTACTAGAAATACCTCTCAACTGAAGAGAGCAAAGATATTTTAGTACTTCAGACTTCAAAGCATTTCAACTCAAGCACGTAAAAAAATTTACAGAACAAACTTAGTTGGTAATACTCTTTACGAAAGAAAAGTGGGTAGGCAAACCTTGAATTTTGTCATCTTTCTTCATATGAGAATAGCACCCTGCAATGTAACAACAAGTATTTAGCTAAGAGGTTACTTGAACACTATCTCCTTGAGCAAACAGGGGAAACAGTTTTAACTTAGACCAGGACAAAACCGTTATGCTATAAAGTCCTATTAGCACTGGTAGGAATCAACACACCCACGCACAAAGACACACACAATTAAGTTAGCATAATGCCTTTCGGCTATAGTAGCATTATACTTATATTATTACCCGGAAAACTAGTTCTTGGTAATTTAACTGGTGTTTTTACAATCCCACCTTCATAAGAAAGGAAATGGATTTTTGTCACGTCAGTGGTAGCTTAGAAAAAAGAAGAGCAGTTGTAGTGCTTCTGTCAAAGAACCAAGTCAACCACAATCTGAGCTTGTGGTTGTAGGCCCTAGAGAGGTTTTAAGCTCTAACTCTCATGTGCAGGCGAGATTTGTTTTTGCTCGAGCACTACACGTGAACACTAATAAGATAATCTACATTTCATAAGTCAAAACAATGCACCATTACTAGGTAGGTTGTTGTACATTCAATTGTAGCCATAAGAGAATAAAATGGTATATATTCTAGTTTTACCTTCAATTTAATGAGATAAATTAGTTTATAACTTACCTATTGCGGCTGATGGTGTTATTGGGAAATCAGAGAGCACGCCATCCACAGGGTTGCCACTGTCAATGTAGGAAAGATACTCTGCTAGAGGATCGGAATGATAATCATAGGGAAGAGGGAGATCATTGGCAAAGTCTGATGCATAAACTTCTAGCCCCAGATCATGAGCATCCATTACAACAGATGTATAAGGCTGTAAGTAAAAAGACTTGTCCACAGGCAAGATGTAACTTTTAGGTACTAGAATCCCCGAGGCAAAGGTTTTAATGAAAGTGAGATTATTTAACAGAGTTCCATATGTTTGGTTGGTTGAAGGTTCTGTTTCATCACTTCCAAGAAATTGGAAAACTAGTTTGGTCACTTTTGTATTGATCCGTGTTGCAATACTTGTCAAGAAGCTCACTTCAGGAGATGAAATGTAGTTGATAACAACACTTCTAGACGCAGAAAGAACAAAGCTTCTCATACTCAGATTGTATTTGTTATAGAAGGAATTGTGCTGCAAATTTGGTGAAAAATAAGAGTTCAGTAAAGATGACAGAACAATGATCACATACATCTACACACTTTGAAATTTAAGCCAACCCATATTGTAAACATGCAATGAGAAAAAATCCAAGTATGATCCTTGAAAGGTGATTTATAAAATGCTGGTGCTATTTGCACCCACTTTTCTAAGAATAGACCTACCTTATTAAAGGACACACACTCCATATATAAAAGCAATACTTACTAAACATTCCCCAGCCTATTGGCACCGACTAAAAATGGAATAGTGTAACTGTGTAAGTATTATTTTGGGAGGACGAGACAATGATAAATCTGATAAATGAGTAAAAGTGGAACAAAAAATTACTGAAGAAATGTTGAGTTAGTTATAAATGATTAATTACCTGAATATTCAACCACAATCCGGGAGGTGTGAACTGAAGAATTGATTGATTAAACAAGTCATGGACGGTAAGAATTTGTTGTGTGGTGCCATCAAATCTACTTGATCGAGAATAAACTCCTTGATTCACTGTTCACAATAGGTAAGTCTAGTCTTTGAATGTCAGGATGCATATGATAAGAGACTGAAAAGAGATCTTTTGCACTAAGTACAAGCACATGAAATATTTGCAAACATCACAATTTGTTAACACATTTCACAGTTGCTGGCTTAAAAGTTTACTTGTCATTCCATAGTAACTCTAAACCTCAGACCCATGATCCCACCCTGTCCACACCAATTTTCATGCCACCCCCTTAAAAAACAAAAAAACAAAAAAACAAAAAAAAATGATGCCAGGGGATAGCGGCGATAGCCAGTGCTAGATTTAGGCCATGTTTGTTAACTGGCCGATTGGCCATTTGACTAATAACCCCTGATATGTGATATATCTTCTAATTAGTTGTTTGGATAAATGGCCTTTTGGCCTAGCCGATCGACTAGAACAGCCAATAATGGACAAGCTGGGTTGTCAAGCGTTTTGAATTGGCCATTTAGTTTTGTCCTCCTTTTTTATTTTGCACTTCCTTCGTGATTTAACATTTTTAGTTAAACATGCCATCTGTATTATACTCCCTTTGTCTTTGAAATAATTTTATGTTTCTTATTGAATGTCTAAAAATTATTTTAACATTTCTCTACTTTCTTTTTAGGCAATAAATATGTAGACTTCATTCATTTTATCTCAATAAATTTCAACCACAGCTTTTTTTAATTTTCACCCACTTTTTTTTCAAAAATGGACGTTGTGTTTCTTGTGTGTAGACTTTATTAAAAATAAACTGTTATAAAATAATATGTGATATGATTATTATTTTATAAAATTGATTAATGCAAATACACATAGAAAAGGTTATAAAATAACTATGTATAAAGTTGTATAAGTGCAAGAAGTTTTTGGGATGAAAAAAAAATAAATAGTCATTTACTTTAATAGTGTGTGTGTGTGTGTATCATTTCAAAAAATAAAACTTTTTAACCAAAAACATAACTTTTATTATGAAGGCATGTCTTTAAAATAATTTTCATTACAAACAACTGTTTATGAACCGCTAAATTTATCAAACATTTTTTCTTAAAAGCTAATTCAATCAACCACTCAAACCAGCCAACGCAAATAACTTACCGCCAACCACTAATATCCAAACAAGGCATTAAAGAAAACATATTTCACATGTATGCATAAAGACACAATAAATGTTGTGAACTATTTAAAGGATGCATATTGACCAAAACTCACAGTTGACAAGTGCCAGATCCTTGAGGGTAAAATCCTTGCAAAACCATCCTTGAGTTGGAACCCCATTCACAAGGTAGGTATTTTTCTTATCCTTGAAGAGAACTTCAACATTAGACGCATTGTTAAGCTTGATATTTGGGAAGCATATACCTTCCCCATCTTTCGTTAGTTGTAAATCACACAACATGATCACATTAGGTAAGCTTGTCATTGCAGCAAAAGCATATGCATTAGAGCTGGAGTCGGCAAATAACCCTGAAAATCCACCATTAGCGATGACTATGGGTGGACCTCCTGTAATGCAAAACAAATATATACATATACATTAGGAAACTTGGTTGGCTGATATGGAACAATAAAAATAATATTTGGCATTTACAGATTTAAAGGTTAAACAGTCTCTCTATTTCATAGTAGAGGTAAGGTCTCCTAACACACACCTCCCCATGTTTGCTGTATTTACAGATTTAAAGGATGAAAATATTCACCAATTTTTCACTTTGGTTTTCAAATTTCAACAAAAATTACTTATGGCAGATCGTGGTGGGGTAATTAAACTTGTAACATACAGTCAGTTTAAGTAGAATACATGTTGCAAAGGAAATCAACAAATCAACTATAAGCTACAATGATTGATATTCATGTATCGTTGTTGTGGAACCCACATTGTTGTTGAAAGCTATCACGGGGTTTCCTTCCTCGAGCTCATTATGTTGTTGAAGTCTTGATTATGGAATTTATGGTGGTAAAATGGGGGGGAATTCAGGTTTGTGCAAGTTCTTGTTTTGGGTCCAAGTTGGGGAGTGCAATCTTGTTAGGATATTTATTTAATATTTCCAAAGAGCTGTGAGAGGGATGAGAAGTTAGTAGATGTGTAGAGTTTTCTAGAGAAGTGTAGAAGTCTCTAGAATTATATAGAATAGTGTAGAAGTTTCTAGAATATTCTAGAGTTTTATAGGGAAATGTGAAAATCTCTAGAAGTGTGTGGAAGAATGTAGAATCTTCAAGAATATTCTACAACTGTGTGTGTTCTCTAGATTCTTCTAGAACATTATGGAATCTCGTGGAGACTTTCTACAAGATTCTAGAGTTGTAGAGATATGTGTACTCTAGAAAAGCCTACCCTTGGTGATGAGTATAAATAGGAGCGTGGATGCCTCATTTGGCAATCCAAGAGAAAGGAGAGTCTAGAACCAAAAAAGGCTTCTTGAGAGTACTTGTGAGTGAGGTGTAGAGAAATGTTCCTAAGACAAAGAGTGAAGTGTGCTACCCATGTAATTGTAATATCTCTTATACATTTCTCTATATAATAAAAAGTCGTTTTCGAAACTCGTGCCTTTGTATTATTGAGTGTGTGTGAGTATACAAGAGTTTGGTTGTGTGAATCGAGGAAAAAGGTCGAGACATGTATCATTTCCCAACAAGTCCCAGGGGCCCGCTTCATGAAACCTCGGAGAATGGCTTCATCGTTTTCTCTTAGCTCAGACAGGTACACCATGTTATGCTTCAAATGACAGGGAAATCAGTCTACTGCATAGCGCTCTTCATTAGTGGTCCAGCTTGCTTATTGTAAGACTTTCTCAACTTAGGTTGCTGCTCCAGCAGTCTCATTTCCAACAAATGTTTAGCAAACACAACTGATGGGCACACATTACACTGGGCATTGTTACCCAATACCAACCCGCATCTTAGACAGTAATGATGTAATACCACTTCTGTCTTACAAGCTAGAGCTGTCAAACACATTGTTTGGTTCCTAACTTTCGGAATCGGGTCACTTGAAGTTTGGGTCAACCCAACAACTTAAAAACATTTACATTTGGAATATTGAAATGCAAATTGGCACAATGGCACTTGTATTTTACATAATAAATTACTCCCTCCATCCCATGATACTTGACTTTGATAAGTGCACATAACCAAATATTTGCTAAAACCCATAAATTTTGGTGCAAGAAATTTGCTCAACCCCAAATATTTTCAAATAAGGTGTCCGTGCAAACTAATGAACTCATTGAAATCACAGTTTACCTAAGGCGCTTAAAAGTTAAGAGCCCTTTTTATAGCAGCTCTTTGCCGATTCGCTTAAGTATTCTAAAAAATTTATCTATTTAGCTCTCTTTTAAGTTAATACCACTTTAGGAATTTATCCAAAATGTTGCAACTAATTGGAAGCCTTATCCCCAACCAAGGCCTAAATCATGTAACTAGACAGTCTGCTTAAACGAATTTCAGCTCATCATATTCTAGTCTTCTCAAACCTGAATCATTAAAAATTATACTCATATGCACACTTGACGGATTTTAGCAGAAGGCCAGTAGCATAGTCATCATCATAAGAATTTTTAAACAAACAAAACAAAACCTAGCTAGCCAGGGAGCTGATAATGTACTACACTTAGAGATGAGAGGCAGGGGGGAGGAAGTTACCGCTAAGCGTCTTCCATTTGGGGGTGCGATTAGAAGATCCTCGAGCAGAAACCAGTGCAACTGCGGAGCAGAAAAGGAGCAGGCTTAAGATCGGGCGGAGCTTACACATGGCCAATGGTCTTCGCCGGCGGCAAACTCTCCGGAGTCAGTTTTCTTCAGTTCTTCAGGCGGATTTGGGCAATTTACAGCCACAAAGACGACAAGCACCAGAAAGCCAGAGTAGTCGAGTACAGAGCAGAGAGAGAGAGAGAGTCTTTTCTGGACGGAGGGTATAATAACAGAAATGGAGTGGGACAGCTAGGCTGGCGGATTATTTACTCCGCGACTTGTTTTGCATTATTTTACTTATTTGGATATGACGTTATTTTTAAATTGTTTTAAATATCCCGTAAAATCCCGTAAATATTACTCGCCCTACATAAAATTTGAAAAATAGTAAGGGCATGGCTAGTGAGTTTTGAAAAATGTAATAAAATATAATTTTCGATATCTGAAAGAAATGATGTTGAAGAGATGATTTAAAATAACGATATAACTAGTGCTAGACGCGGTGACCGGCAACGGGATAATTTACAATGACAATGGTAATCGGTGGTTGAGAATAGTCAACGATTGGGAAAAATAGCAAACTCTCGTATGATTTTTTCCAAATTCAAGAGATAAACCAAACTAGATATCTTATTTGGCTTCACAAAATACTAAAAAAATCAGATATTTAGATATATCAAAATTTACGGAGTATATCTTTTTCATTACCAAATTAAACACGCCCTAAAATTTATAAATTTTTAGACTATATCTACGGAGTACAAAATAAAAAAGAACATAATTATAATATTTTATTAAATAATATATAAAAAATATACTTCCTCCGTTCCTAAATAAATTTTCATTTTTGACTTTTTGAGGATTTAAGGGAGGAATATTTTTGTGTTGACTTTCCAAAAATATCCTTGATGTGATGTGTAAAAGTAAGATGTGATATGTAGGTTATTAGTAAAAAGGTATAATGTGATAGGTAGGGTATGAAAAAGTAAGGGGTAAAAGGGGTTTTTTAAGAGAAAAGAAAAGTTTATTTAGGGACAAAGAAAAAAACGAAAGAGGAAGTTTATTTAGGGGCGAAGGGAGTACAAAATATATAAAGAAGGACAAAATAATTTAACTATGTGAATACTGATCGTAAATAATCAAATCAGACAAAAGAAATAAATAATAGGTAATAATTTAACTAGTGTGTATTTTTTGTACATTCTGTATCAATTTACTTACATGCAAATGTCAATGTTAGATTTTAGATTCATTATAAAAGCAACATGCAGAATACCTTTTTGTTTGTTACTAAGTCTCCGTTTGGCATCAGCGTTAGAAATTAGCGTTAGCGTTTTGAAAAGCTACCTGACGGTAACCTTTAGCGTTAGCGTTTTCAGAATTAATCTACATCATTAAAATTTTATCCAAAACACTAACGCTAATAAAAAATGATGTTCCCAAACAAGACATAACTCTATTATAATATATACTCGGTAATATATATTTATACTTCTTTCAAGATTTATTGAGTCAACGCATGCATTTGCTTCTCTAAAAACCAACTTATGTAAAACTATTCATGAATCTTACTACCTCCGTCCCACTATATTTGTCCACTTTTGACTTTTGGAACTACTCATCTTAGCACTTTGACTCATCAAATTCTCTCAATGTGTAAGCCTAAATATAGTCATGTGTGATCTTGTTTGATTTGCCTTAACATATAGATTATTAATATATAATTTCTATAATTTTTTAATATATAAATTACAAGGTAAAATGGATTAAAGAAGTGCATTGGATGGTATGCAAAAATGAAAGTGGACAAATATAGTGGGACGGAGGAAGTATTAATTAGTATTGGTAATTTATACTCACGGTATAAATACTAAAATACTAAGCTTTTCTTTTAGTTGAGAAAGAGGAAAACTACAAAACTAGTAGTGACAACAATATTTTATTTTATCAATTTGCTAACGAAAATAGAGAAAGAAAGTGAATGAAGTTTGACCCTGTGAATAGTGAACATGCATTATAATTTGGGACGGAGGGAGTAGTAATTTGTCCCCCTAGAAAAATGTTAGAAGTACACCAAAGGTGTACCCCATTTGTCCCACACCCTCTCCTTATCCACATAAATGGGCAAGAAATTCAAAAAAAAATACATAAATAAAAATCAAATAAAAATAGGTGGTGGGGAAGGGGGTGGTGTACATTTGGGGTACACTTTTGGTATACACCTAGCATTGCTCTAATTAATAATATGATTTCTGCTCCAGAATATTTTTCTCTTTTGATTTTTTGCAATCAAAATTAATAAACTATCATTAACTAAAGAAAATTATATTGAAATTGATACACGAATAAAAATATAAGATTTATATACACGAAATTGGCATCTTTGACTGACTTGGGCTTTTTTGACCAAGCGAACCGCCAAAACCATTATTTGGCTAATGGCTTTTTCACTTGGCATTTTGATCCGAAAAGCCAAAATCTGAAATGCCAAGGTGAGTAGCATTTGGACTTGGCGGTTAGGAAAAATATTTTTTTTAAAATCATTTTTGTTGAAAGATATTTTATAATATATGTAAAAAATAAAAATAAAAATTAAAAAAATTAAATACGAAAAAATAAAATGAAATTAAAAAAAATTATATTTATAATTCATTAAAAAATTTATATTTATAATTTATTATGAATTAAATGAAATTAAAATTTAATATTCCATATAGTAAAGATTTAATTTTTACATGTAAAAAAATGAAAAATAAATATCATGTCTATATATATATATATATATATATATATATATATATTAAAAATATAAATATATTTTTTTAAAATTAAAAAAATTAAATAAATAAATAAATATATATATATATATATATATATATAATTTTTTATTTAATTTTTTTAATTTTAAAAAAATATATTTATGATATGATATTTAAAAAAATTGTAAAATAAAATATACCATAAATGGAGGGATGTCCTTTTATGTAATTTTATTTACAAACAGCTAACTATAAACAGCTAAAGTTGCCAAACACTTAAAATTTAACTGCTAACAGAAACAGCCGGTCAAAACAGCTAACTCAATCAGCCATTCAAATCAGCTAACATAAACAGCCAACAGCCAACTG